GGGGGGTGCTGGGGGCAGGATGTCTGTGCAAGAAGAACAAGAAGAGGAGGACGAATAATAATAATAATAATAATAATAATAATAAAATAAGAAGAAAAAGAAGAAGAAGAAGAAGAAGAAGAAGAAGAAGGAGAAGAAGAGTACGGGGATGACAAGACCGAAAAAAAAAAAACAAGCCTGGGAAATAAGACCGAAAAAAAAGAAAAACAAGCCTGGTAAGAAACCACGTCCATATTGCTCCACAATCGATTACATAAAGTCTCTCTCTCTCTCTCTCACACACACACGCACACACACACACACACACACACATGTGTGCACACACATACATACACACACACACACACACACACACACACACACACACACACTCACACTCACGACGACCTCGTTCGCCATCGGAGTGGCTTCCCTCGGATTCAGATGATCGTTCACTGCAGTTATCTGAATCGGGGTCATCCTCCACAACCTCTGCGCGAGCCTTGCGCTGACGATTTTTTATTTTTTTTTTGCACCGGGTTCAGCGGTTTTCAGCTTGGGGGCCTGCCACGAGCACGCTTAGGCTTCGCAGCAGCATCCTCCACCGGTTCCTTCCTCTTCCTCCCCACCCTGCTTACCCACAGGTTGTCATGTTGGACAACCTCATTGCTGTGAGGGAAGTCGGGTGAGTTCTCGACAGACTGTGCGGACAAAACCGGTCGTGGCCTACGCGTGTACACAGTCTTCATTGCAGGCTGGTGCTCCTCTTCGGCGTCCTCGTCATCCATGTTGTGTTGCAGGTCCTCTGGATCCATGCCCTCCGCGTCATCTTGCTGTTCCATGGCCTCCTCCACTCCTTGACTCTCCATCCCCTCCTCGTCCTCTTCATACTTCATCTCCTCGTCCTCTTCTCCGTGCTCCATCTCCGGCTCTTGTGCGTGGTCCATATCGCCCTTGTCTTCTTGCTGGCCCTTCTCCTCCACCTCTTTGTGGTGCTCCGCCTCTTGCTGGTCCGCCTCTTGCTTGTCCTCCTCTTTGCGGTGGTCTGCCTCTTGCTGGTCCACCTCTTGCTGTTGCTCTTCCTCTTCTTGCTCTTGCACAACGTCCAATGACCGACGTGTCTCCGGTTCCTTCTCCCCAACCTTCTTCTTGTGTCTCTCAATCTCCCTCCGGGTTGGGATTGCTGCGCGTCGGGCATCCTCTTCCATGATCCGTTTTTGGACGGCATCTTTATCGCGATCTGCTAATGCCTTTGCACGGTTGGCCTCCGCCTCATCTTCATCAATCAGACGACTTTGCAGCAGCAACTCGATGTCTGTGTCCATGTGATGGAACTCAACGTCGGGCTGAGGATGGTATCGGGAGGAGCTTTCCCCCCGGACCTGCGTAGAGACCGCGGGCTGGTTCTCCCTCCGACGCCGTGCAGGTTCTCTCCTACTAACATAAGTCGTGCCCGGGACCGATGGTTGGGCTCCCAGCTCAAAATCGGAATCACTTTCGTCCTCCTCCTCCTCCTCGTCGCTCGTCTCATCCGACAATCCACCCCTCCCCGTCCACAACTCATCATCCAGATCACTGTCGTCGGTGCACTCGTCCTCTTTGTCCTCAAGCTTCTTTGGAATCCTTTTCGGTGGCTTCACGAAGCTGCTTTGCCACACCAGCTCCTCATCCGTCTTCTCAGTTTCTTCCTCGGGGCCCCTCAAGACAGATCCATCGTTCTCGTCTGGCTCTGGAATAGCCTCGAAGAACGAACTCCACAGATCGACATAGCCCTCGCCCTTGGTACCGCTGTTGTTGGCAGCACGCAGTAGTTGCATGTTCCAATGGATGTACACCAGCTTGTCCAATGTTTCGGGCTTCAAGTTGTTCCTCCTTTTCAAATGCACGAAGTCCATGGACGCCCAATTCCTCTCCGTCGGGGTTGCTGTACTCCACATGCCCATCACTTTGATGGCAATGGCCTGCAAGTCGGGGACATCGCCACCATAAGTCGCCCACCACTCTGACGGTGTGAGCCTCTCACAATCAACCTTCGCATCGAGCTCCCGCATCTTCTTGTCCTTCCTCTTGGGCCCGTTCGGCGTGGGTTCCTTGTGAAACTCGTGAAGGTTACCCAAAACCTCAAGTGGTTTGACCCGTTCCAATCACCTCCAACCTGTCTCTGCAGGTAAAGCATCGCGTTCTGCACAATTTCACTGTCCCGATCATAGAGCCACCGTGGATTTCTCCTGCACGGGTCCAGAAGAAACGCCAGTGCATGTACTGGCTGCCGCATCATCTTCACCCGATCTCTGGCTTTCTCCATGACGCTCGCCCGCCGCTCGTCAGTGAGAACCACGTGAGCCAGTTTCCTTTCAATCAGGTCGTCGTATTCCATAAGGTTTGTCGACGATGTTCCATCCTGATCCATCCTCCTGAGAAGGCTGTAGAATGGTTTCATCACATCGACCACCTTCTTCAACTTCGTCCACCAGCCGTCTCTCCTCATGGTGAAGTAAAGCAGACCCACTTTCGACTTCAACTTTGCAGTGGACCAACGGATCCCTGTCCACCGTGCTGCATTTTTTCGATCCACCATATCGGACAACACTGCCTTCCTGTTGAGCAGCCTCTCCAACATCATGTACACTGACCCGAACTGAACTTTCGTGGGACGAAGCAATGTCAGGGAATCGTCCATGGATATCATCAGGCTGTGCGTCGAGTGGTGGTTCCGGATGAACTTAACAATCGTGTGGCCTCTCTTAACAGTGCTCTTCACCCAGTCTAGCTTGCTGATGTCTCGTAGCAAAAGGTTGAACAATGAGCAGCGCAAGGAACCCATGGAATCCTTGCAATGTCTTTGTCAGTCCGGCGTTCCAGAATCTGAGCAGCCTTCGTGTTCACCTCGGCATTGTCGGTGCAGATTGCGTTGATGCGACGCACCCCTATCTCCCTCATAATCTGCTCCCACAACTTTGCCAACGCCTGCGCTGTCTTCTTCCTTGCCGTCATTGACACCGTGGCCACCAAAACTGCACCCTTTTCCCCCGCTGCCAAGAAGTTCATGACAGGGCGCTCTCGACGGTCGGATGACCCATCCGTGATGAATGTACAGCTAGATTCATCCCAACAGGCTGTCTGAGGATGCACTTGCTTTTGAATTCACAAGTAGATGAAGTCAAGCATCACGGTCCTCATATGCTTGTACGAGGGCAGCTTGACCTTCGGTCGCGCATTTGCCACTTCCAAGTAAACCTCGTGGAGCTTCTGCGTCGTGTCAAAGTTCAGGAAGTTAAACGCAATGCCAGCACGGAACATTGCCTCCGCCCACGCAATATCCAGCTTCTTCTGTGCATCATTGTCCACCCATCTCTTGATTGATGTCTGCTGCAACGATGCAACCCTCGTGTTTGACGCTGAACCTTCCGCAAGCCCCTCGTTTGCAGCGACGACCGACTCTGTTCGGGAAGCTGTTTTCGGTGGTGCCATCCCCGCAGTGGTTGGTGGTTGTGGCTCCTCGTACCCGGGAACGAGCGGCTCCATGTCCTGAGTCTCCATCGCAGTCGCCCCCCGTTCCGCAATGCCATGCAACTGCCTTTAGTTTTTCAGGAGGTATTGCGTTTTTTTGTCGCTGGGCAGCACCTTCGCACCGGCGACCACGAGCTTGTGCACCATCTCACTTGTCCTCAAGGGACACGACTTCAACAACTTCAAAAAGTGTTCCCCTGCCCTTGTGCTCGTGCCCCTCCAAATCTCCGTGCATAGCCGGCACTTCAGCCAATACTCTCCTCGACCCTTCGGCAGGGCTTCTTGACCATGTATAACATATTTTCACACGTCCCGGGTGCGCTGCAGTTGTTGTTGCCTCGTCTCATCCTGAGGAACGAACAGTGAGGGGTCTGACGTCGGTGTGGGATCCTTTGCAGTCACCCTAGATGCGAAAGCACTGACACTTGCATTGGCTTTTCCTTTGTCTATCGATCCTGAAGGAGGTCTCCTCCTTCCGGATGCGCCACTGCCACCACCTGCTGCAACGCCACTCTCGCCGCCCCCCGCCATTGAGCAGCAACGTTTGAAAACACTCGCCAATAAACACCGAACGCACCCCCCTCTGGCCTAGTAAGGCAATCAGACAATGTGAACAGCATCCTACCCATGCACCTTGTACAGCAACCAGACAATGCGAATAGCAGCCTACTCATGCACCTAGTACAACAAACGGACAATGTGAACAGCATCCTACCCGTGCACATAGAACAACCGACTGACAATGTGAACAGCACCCTACCCGTGCACATAGAACATCAAACGGACAATGTGAATAACATCCTACCCCTGCACCTAGTATATCAAACTGACAACGTGAACAACATCCTACCCATGCACCTAGTACGACAAACTGAAAACGTGAACAGCACCCTACCCCTGCACCTTGTACCGCAATCAGACAATGTGAAGAGCATCCTACCCATGCACCTAGTACAGTAACCAGACAATGTGAACAGCATCCTACCCGTGCACATAGAACAACAAACTGACAATGTGAACAACACCCTACCCGTGCACATAGAACAACAAACTGACAATGTGAACAACGTCCTCCCCATACACCTAGTACAGCAAACAGACAATGTGAACAACACCCTACCCCTGCACCTAGTACAACAAACTGACAATGTGAACAACATCCTACCCATGCCCCTAGTACAGCAGACAGACAATGTGAACAGCACCCTACCCCTGCACCTAGTACAACAAACTAACAATGTGAACAACACCCTACCCGTGCACATATAATATCAAACTAACAATGTGAACAACATCCTAGCTATGCACCTAGTACAAAAAACAGACAGTGTGAACAACACCCTACCCCTGCACCTAGTACAGCAAACTGACAATGTGAACACCACCCTACCCCTGCACCTAGTACAGCAAACTGACAATGTGAACACCACCCTACCCCTGCACCTAGTACAACAAACAGACAATGTGAACAGCAGTCTACCCATGCACCTAGTACAGCAAACGGACAATGTGAACAGCATCTTACTCGTGCACCTAGTATAGCAAACAGACAATGTGATCAGCATCCTACCCTAGGGGAATGCTCCCCGAGGTACCCCGGGATGAAGCGCCCTACACACACTCATCAGGGACATCATAAGGACAAGATTTGAAGTATCTTGTGAAGCGGACACATCACCGGGGCATCCCGAAGTAAAGCGCCACTCATACATTCGTCAAGGTTGGTGAAAACTCAAGATGGGAAGTGCCTAATCTACCGGAAAGTTCACGGAAGTCACCCAAGGATAATCGCAACCCATACATTCATCAAGATCAGTGAAAACTCAAAACTTGAAAGCATCTAATCAAGGGGAAACATCATGGAAGTTTCACAAGGTGAATCGCAACAGGTACAGGCACCCAGAACAGTGAAAACTCAGGATTGGAAGCATCTACCCGAGGGGACACATCACGGAAGTATCACCAAGTGAATCGCAACATGTACAAGCCCTTACATAAGTCAAAATTCAAGATTGGTCACATCTACTCCAGGGGAAACATCACCGAAGTATCACCAAGTGAATCGCAACATGTACAAGCACCTACAACAGTGAAAATTCAAGGTTGATAGCATCTACACAAGGGGAAACTTCATGGAAGTATCACAAGGGGAATCGCAACATGTGCAAAGCACCAAAAACAGGGAAAACTCAAGGTTGGTAGCATCTACTCAAGGGGAAACTTCACGGAAGTATCACAAGCGGAATCTCAACATGTGCAAGCACCAAAAACAGTGAAAACTCAAAGTTGGTAGCATCTACTCAAGGGGAAACATCACGGAAGTATCCCCAAGTGAATCGCAACATGTACATGTACCTACATCAGTGAAAATTCAAGATTTGAAACCTCTACTAAAGGGAAAACATCACGGAAGTATCACCAAGTGAATCGCAACATGCACAAGCACCAAAAACAGTGAAAACTCAAGATTGGAAGCCTCTACTCAAAGGGAAACATCACGGAAGTATCACCAAGTGAATCGCAATATGTACATGCACCTACATCAGTGAAAATTCAAAATTGGTAGCATCTACTCAAGGGGAAACATCACGGAAGTATCACCAAGTGAATCGCAACATGTACAATTACCTACAACAGTGAAAATTCAAGATTGATAGCATCTACCCAAGGAGAAACATCACGGAAGTTTCACCAAGTGAATCGCAATATGTACATGCACCTACATCAGTGAAAATTCAAGATTGGAAGCATCTACTCAAGGGGAAACATCACGGAAGTATCACCAAGTGAATCGCAACATGTACATGCACCTACATCAGTGAAAATTCAAACTTTGAAGCACCTACTCAAGGGGAAACATCACGGAAGTATCACCAAGTGAATCACAACATGTTCATGCACCTACATCAGTGAAAATTCAAGATTTGAAGCATCTACTCAAGGGGAAACATCATGGAAGTATCACCAAGTGAATCGCAACATGTACAAGCACAAAAAACAGAGAAAATTCAAGGTTTGAAGCATCTACCCAAGAGGAAACATCACGGAAGTATCACCAAGTGAATCGCGACATATACAAGCACCTACAACAGTGAAAATCCAAGCTTTGAAGCACCTACTTAAGGGAAAACATCACGGGAGTATCACCAAGTGAATCGCAACATGTACAAGCACCAAAAACAGTGAAAACTCAAGATTGGTAGCATCTACTCAAGGGGAAACATCACGGAAGTATCACAAAGTGAATCGCAACATGTACAAGCACCTACATCGGTAAAAATTCAAGGTTTGAAGCATCTACCCAAGGGGAAACATCACGGAAGTATCACAAGGTGAATCGCAATATGTACGTCATCCCAGATCAACAAAAATCGCAGTTTTGACAAAAAGGAGGGGGATGGAGGAGGGAGAGAGAAAGAAA